CAGACGCTGGTGCGCGGGGTGCTCGCGGACGGCAAGCAGCTGCAGGACGCCCTGTCGGAGGAGCTCAAGCGGAACTCGTCCTCCGCGCCCTCGCGAGAGACCCCGCTCAGCGTGCTCATCAATCGAATCGACTTCTCGGGCGTGTGGCTGCGGCTCTCCGGCGAGCAAGGGCGCGATCGGGCGGGTGAAAGGAATCCGGCCATAAAAAACGTGGGCCTACAGGAAAGGTTCCTCCAGGACGGCAACAGCTGGCTACACGAGCTTCAGAAATGGGAGTGGTCCTTCGGAGACTTGCCGCGGGAGGCTAGCTACTACGGACCCGAAATGAAGGTAAGTGTTCCCCCAAAGAGGAATCCTTTGCCCTCCCTTCCCTTCCTCCCCATTCCCCCATCATTCCCCACCCAACGGTGACGCATTCCCCACCTGCGGAAAATTAATTATGCAGATGACTACACGCGACCTACAATGCCATTGAAATGTAAGGCTTAGAATGCTCGCCCAGAACTCGTCTTGTTGCCCAACAGCCGAGTGTCCTTCAGCGATAAGGCGCCTTTGAAGAAAAGTGTCGAAACAGGAGCCGGTGATGCAATTTCGGAGACCTTTCCTTTGTTTATGCGTTGCCCACTGCGGTAGGATTTTACGATGCGATAATCAGGGCAGATTGCCAAACGAAAATGAAAAAGGGTTTTAGGACATTCACTCTAGGACATTCACTCTAGGAAGTGGAGGACTTCAGCATTCCAGTTGCATTTCCGGTTGCAAGGATCTTGTATTAGGGTGGGGGTCACGTGGATGCTTTTTTCCCCACTTTAATATTATTTTGCTTTAAAAGGCATTTCACTTCGGCTTATAATTGACATACGATTGTAATAACTGAGTAACTGATTAATCGTTTTAGATAAATCATGGAAGTACAGAGATCGATCGAAAGGTTACGGAAACCATCCAGGCTTATATCCGGGTTGTATAAGACTTTTATTTCCCTTTAAGGAAAAAAAAAAACAGGAAGAAAATGTCGGAGGAAAAAAGTTGCAAATTACTAATACTTTTCGTATTTTTGTCGTCATACGATATCCAGATGTAATAAGAGATTAATTATGTATTATAAACCACCAAAAAGGTTCTTAGGTAAGAGCGATCAAACCCAATGATCGATAAACAAACCGTTTGAAAGTAGAATTCGCCTATAAAAACGAACAAAGAACTTTTTTTTATAATTATTTTTATTTTTTTTTTCGTTTAACGACAGCTGACACGAAAACAAAAACACAAACACAGACACCAGTGGAAATTCAATCCATTTTTTTTTTTTTTTTTTGCAATGTGAGTCACTGCAAGGGTGATCATGCGTCTATTTTATATCCGGTGTTCTTAAACAAAGTACATCATGTGATCAGAAAAAAAATGTGTTGGACTTAAATGTAAGAGAAGCGAGGTGAAGGTTAGAGAGAACGGGGTTAAAATGTATTAGATTATATGTATATATATATATATATATATATATATATATATATATATATATATATATATATATATATATATGTATATATATATGTATAATATGTGTGTGTGTGTGTGTGTGTGTGTGTGTGTGTGTGTGTGTGTGTGTGTGTGTGTGTGTGTGTGTGTGTGTGTGTGTGTGTGTGTGTGTGTGTGTGTGTGTGCGTGTGCGTGTGCGTGTGGGTGTGTGTGTGTGTGTGCGTGTGTGTGCGTGTGTGCGTGCGTGTGTGCGTGCGTTGCGGGTGCGTGTGTGTATCTGTGTGGTATATATAACACAAACGAAAAAAGCGATAACATGTCCTCTGTTACCTATAGCGACGTCCCTTAACAGCGCCATTATCTGATAAGGTTTCACCGTTGAGGGCACTTTAATCTCCATCACAAGAATTTAATTGAAACATCCCTGAGGCCTGCGCTGGAGGTGTGATAAGTGGAGTTTAAAGTATTATACGCAAGGTTATCGATCTACGGTTGACCCCTTTTGTGTGTGGAGGGGGGGTTGTGGGGTGGGGTGGGAGGGGTGGGGAGGGGGAAGAGAGAGATGGGGTGGGTGTGGGAGGGGGAAGAGAGAGGGGGGGGTGTAGGAGGGGGAAGAAAGACAGAGAGACGGGGGGGTTGTGGGAGGATAAAGGAAGAGAGAGGGGGGGGCTTGTGGGAAGGAGAGTAGGAAGGGAAGGGGAGTGGGGGGGATTGTGGAGGGGGAAGGAAGAGAGAGAGGGGGGATTGTAGGAGGGAGATAGGGGAGGGGGAAGGAAGAGAGAGAGAGAGAGGGGGGGTTGTGGGAAGGAGAGTAGGAAGGAAAGGGGAGTGGGGGTGGTTTTGTGGGAGTGGAAATGGGTGTAGGAGGGAGTGGGATGTGGGAGGGGGAGTTGGAGGGGAAGATGTTGGAATAGGAAATGGATGGAAGAGAGAAAGGGGATGGTTTTGTGGGAGTGGGAGGGAGAGGGGGTGTGGGAGTGGGTGTGGGAATGTAGTGGGAGGGGAGGGAGTTGAAGTGATTTTGTAGGAGTGGGAGTGGGTGTAGGAGGGGAGTAGGATGTGGAGTAGGAGGGGGAGGGGAAGGAGGAATGGGTGTGGGAGTGGGTGTGGGAGGAGAGGGTAAGGGTGGGAGTGGGTGGGAAGGGGAAAGGGAGGGTGGGAGTATCGAGGATAGGGAGACAATGAGGTACAGGTACAGATAGAGGGAGTGGGAAAGGAAAAAGGAAAAGCAGAAAGAAAAGCTAGACAAAGAGGTGGGCCAGACAGACAGACACACATAGACACACACACGCACACGCACCGCACGCACCCACACTCAAACACACACCGCACACGCACGCACACGCACACAACACGCACACGCACAAAACCACCCACCACCCACACACATACACATACATTATATATATATATATATATATATGTATGTATGTATGTATATGTATATATATATATATTATATATATATTTATATTTATATATTTGTGTATATATATATATATATATATATATATATTATATATATATATAAATTTATATATATGTATGTATGCATGTATGTATGTATGTATATATATGTATGTATATATATATATATATATATATATATATATATATATATATATATATATATATATATATATATGTATATATAGAGGAGAGGAGAGAGAGAGAGCGAGAAAATAACAAGAAAACGAAAGAAAGAATAACAAATATCAAATCGTGTAGAAAACCAAGATAAGGAAAAGAAAAGAAGAAAAAACAACGATAAAACACTGAAATAGAATCTAATCGCCAGAGATATGTGATAGCGGCGCGATTACGAGATGCCGAATAACACATTTATCTTAAGACGATTATTATCTCAATTTAATGTGGTGTGTTGTTTCACCCCCAAAACAAGCGCGTTCGTCGGTGGATTAAAACTCACTCGATTATTCCCGTTAGGTAACTCGATGTGGGTGGAGTTGCCAAGTCTTGTTGATATTTGATTTTATTTTATTTTTTTAATGTTTCTTTTTTTTTGGGGGGGGTAGGGGTGTATGGAGGTGATGTGTATATATAAGACTTCGTGTGGTTTGCGATATATATTAATCTGTATCTTTTTATGTGATGTAATATATTTCATGGAAAGGTGTGATTCAGATGTTGAGTGTACGCTGTGACCTCTGAGGGAGAGGGGGAGAGGGAGAAGGGAGGAGGGAGAGGGAGAGGGAGGGAGGGGAGAGGAGAGGGAGAGGGAGGGAGGGAGAGGGAGAGGGGAGAGGGAGAGGGAGAGAGGAGAGGGAGAGGGAGAGGGGAGAAGGAGAGGAAGAGGGAGAGAGGAGGAGGAGANGGCACATAGACAGAAAGACAGACAGAAACCTACAGACACACGGAAGCAGAGACGCAGACAGAGAGAGGCTTCCAAGTGCACATATTAGTTAAAGTAGGAATACAGACTTGCAATTAATCAAGATTAACAGACTGTAATTAGGAAACTCATTAAGTCCCGAGATGTAAGGTTTCGTCTCATTTTATTCATTTGTAATTTCATCTCTCTCTCTCTATCTATCTATCTGTCTATCTCTCGTCTCTTCAATATATATATAATATATATATATATATATATATATATATATATATATATATATATTATATATAAGTATATATATATATATATATATATATATATATGTATATATATACATATATATTTATATATATATATATACTATATATATATATATATTATATATATATATATACATATTATATATATATATATATATATATATATATATATATATATATTATATATATAATATATATATATATATATATATATATATATATATATATATTATATATAATTATATTATTATATATATATAATTATATATATATTATATATATATATATATATATTACAATATGAATGTGTAATATATATATATATATATATAATATACATATATATATATATAAATATATATTGATATATGTATATATATATATATATATATATATATATATATATATATATATATATATATATATAAATATATATATATACATATATATATATACATTCATATATATACATACATACATACTATACATATATATGTATTATATGTATATATATTATATATATATATATATAATATATATATATATATATATATATATATATATATGAATTGCCATCATAAACATCAACATCATCACTACCATCCTTATCATTATCCTTATTGTTAAGATTATTGTTTTCATAAGCAATACTACGATCATCGTCATCACCATTATCTTTAACATTATATGTATATGAAATATATGTAAATATATATATATATATATGAATATATGTATGCATACATACTTAAATATATATACTATGTATTATATAATATATATATATATATATATATATATATATGTATACATATATATATATATATATATATATATATATATATATATAAACATATATATATAAATAGTACACTATGGCAATAAACCAGCCACCTCCTCTCCTGGCG